GACACACACACACATAGACACACACACACACAGACACACACAGAAACACAGACACACACACACACACAGACACAGACACAGAGACACACAAGCACGCAGGCACAGAGAGAGACATCGTCGTAGACATCAAACACACGCACACACACACATAGACACAAACAGACACACACATACACACGCACAGAACCACCCACACACCCACACACACACACACATACACACGCACTTGCACACACATGTACACGCACATGCACACACACATGTACACACATACGTACACACACTTGTACACACGCTTGTGCACACACTTGCGCACACACATGTACACACACTTGTGCACACACTTGTGCACACACGTGTGCACACACACACGTGTACACACACACACGCACTTGTACACACACCTGTGCACACACACACACTTGTACACACACTTGTGCACACACTTGTGCACACTCTTGTACACACACACACTTGTACATACGCTTGTACACACACTTGCACACACACAAACACACTTGCACACACACACACACACACTTGCACACACACACACACACACTTGCACACACACTTGTACACACACTTGTACACACACTTGTACACACACACACACTTGTGCACACACTTGTATACACACTTGTACACACACTTGTACATACACACGTGTACACACACACACACGTGTACACACACACACACACACGCACTTGTACACACACCTGTGCACACACACACACACACTTGTACACACAATTGTGCACACACTTGTCCACACATACGCGCACACTCACACACACACACAGCGGCAGTTCAGGAAAGGTGAGCTCCGCGACAAGGACGGTCAAATCATGGAAGCGAACATGCAGCACAAGGTGGATGAGTTCCAACATGAGATCATTTGCTTCGTCAGTAACCTGACATGACAGGTATCGTGCCCACTTTTCAGACGAGCCAACGAAGCCGCCCCAACATTTTCTGCGGGTTTTTATTTTTCACGATCTTCCAAGTCCAAAAAGGCTTGGACTGCGCGCTAGCTTGTGCCCAGGCTTGCTCTTTGCTAGCTGCCTTTCAGAGATCTCCGGAAACTCATTGGACGTGAAAGTCATCAGAGGAATTGATCCAGACTGCGGCTCGGATCAGATTTGCAAGGTGCTTTTGAGCCCGTCAAAAGGGACTCCTCGAATTGGTAGGTTCCTTTAAAGGTTGCCTTCTGCACCATCCTGATGAGTCCGACTCGTTTTGATCAGTGCAATGCGTGCTTTTGAGGCATTCGCGGTGAAAGCAGGCGGATGGCCAAAAAAACTCGCAAGATGGGTAAGAAGTGAGGTCGAAGCTTTTTCAGCGCTGATCATGCAAGGGCCTAGTCAAAGTGGCTGGACGAGGATAGGCTCAGGTTCACCTGGTTTGGATGTGAAGGCCCCTTGTCCATGCACGGCCTGTCGCCAGGCATCAGTTCCCCGAATGCCTCGCGTCCGCAGGTGCGAGGTGGTGGCACACTGGATATGCAAGCAGCTCGGCGGATCCAAATCCAATGGTGGCCCAGGTGCGACCCAGGCTTGCAGCAGAAACATTGTATTCCATGTGCTAGGTGGGGGTGGGTGGCCAACGCCAACAAATCCCCGAGGGCGAAGGGTCAACGTGTGGTTCATTCTTGCGCTTGGAACGTCGGACAAGCATGCGGACCCCGACAGTCATCCATGAAGGGTCAGCTCTTGCGCACGGCGCCAGTGTTTGGTTTGCCCTTTCTCAAGTCTTGCGCTCTGCGCTGACGCCTGGTGTCTTCTGCCTAGGGCGATTATCAACGCCAAACGGGCGCAGATTCTGGACATCGACCCGCCGATTCTATCGCGGGCATTGGCTGACCTGGCTTCCTCCATTGCTGATATCTACCGAGCTCCCTGGCCGTCGCTGGCATTCGCTGAACCTGTTGATCTTACGGATGTTCGTGCAACAGCCGCAACCGCATTCCAGCAAGGGTGTGACTATTCAGCTTCCTAGTTGATCAATAATCACCTTGCACTGCCGTGCTGGGTTACATGAGAAGTGCCAATCTGAGTATGTTCTTGATGTTCGCGCAACCGCATTTACGATGTTGTTGGGCTGGGTGGTATGTGCCATGCTTGCCCTCACCAATTTCAAGTTGCATATATAATGTCCCTTGAAGCCACCCTAGCCCCCCATGGCGACCAAACAGCCAGTCTTTGCTCCCGGAACCCTAGCCTAAGCACAATTCAGTCCAAACCGATTCTAGACTCATAGCCCCCTGAGCCCCGAAGCCAACCCATTTCGCTCACGGCCTTAGGGTTTAGGGGGCTGACCGTCCTTTGCATATCGAACTCTCTCCACAAAAAAAAGAAGAAACAAAAAGAAGCACGGGCAGAGTTTTGATTGCAAGCAAGGCAGCGTGCGAAAACGAGACGTTTGGCATGGAAAGCTAGCCCCTGTTCAAAGAATTTGTTCTTTGAGAACTGCTCTTTCACACGGCGCATAGTATGGCAAGCTCAGCCAGTGCCCTTGCGCTATGAGACTTTGTTCCAGCCACCTGATGGTCATGCACATGCGTTTCCGCAAGCTCAAGCCAGCCAACGGAGCATGCACAAAGGCAAGTCGCAGAGGATGATGCTCCAAGTGATGCTTATGAAATTGTCTACTGCTTTTGTCGTCGCAGCCCTTGTTCACAAGGGTGTGGGGGATCTGATCTTCTTGCAGGGCCGCGGGTCGAGCCCTGCCAAGGTTCGGAAGATCAAAGATGTTCCATTTCCGGTGGCGTACTCGCAGATGGTCCTTGTCATGCTGGTAGTTTACTCCCTCGCGCCTGCCACAGTTGCACAGGGTCGAATGGGGCGAATCACGGACAGCTGCAGGTGCCAAAGGCTGCGAACCGAGGTCACGCCGCTTCTGGCTAGTCAATTAATAGAATTGACTTGGATGGACGCTTGGCAGCAGCTTCCTTGCCGCGCAGTTTGTACACAGAGAGAAAGCGGCACAACGCGCAAGGCCACAACGGCGACCTTTTGCGTGACTGCGGGCTTTTGGTCACTTTACCACATTGCCGATGAGATCGACCAGCCTTTTGGAACAGATCAAAACGACTTGCCATTGGAGATGCTGGCCGCAGAATTCATCGATAGCCTCAAGTCCCTGAGAGTGCAGACGCATCAAATGCCTCGAGTCACCTACGAGGAGGAGAGGGGAGCCAAAGGAGTCCTTGCCGCAAGATGTTCTGAGAGGAACGCGCACCTTCCGACCAAGAGATGTTGACTTTGGCGCATGTTGCCAAGGGATGTTAGGACTTCAACTGTTTGCCAACTAGTGGGTTTTCCATCAAACCACTAGAAGTTAAGTCTGTAGCAGGGGAGCAGAAAGCAACCGAGTTGAGTTGACTTCTGTCTTGGTGATTTTGGTGTGGGGGGTGGGGGGGTGGGGGGTGGGGGGTGGGATTGGGTGGTTGATAGAAGTGCCCACACTCTGTGGGCCTTTGGGAAATTCCGTATGCCTCCAAGTTCTGCGAACAACAACGCTGAAGCTCAAGACGAAGAGTCAAGTGGCGCTACAGACGTGCCTCGTACTGCAGTAGTTGCACAGCTTACCCCAGACAAGAGGCTTCGAAGCCTGCCATGAACGCCGTTTCAGGGAGAAATCTACCGATGCCCTGCTGGCCAAAGATCGCTCTGAGTCGGAGGGCCAGTGGCTGCGAGCCTAGCGGATCATGTTCAAAGCGCATCACATGCGGAGCCGGCATCATTCGGCATGTTGGCGCTGCGAGTTTTGCACCACCTGCGCTGCACAGGTCACACGCCGAAGAAGCAGAAGGCGTTTTGAGGCTCGTGCTGCGTCGAGTGGCACGAGATGTGAACAGCTCAATGAGCCTAGCAGGCCTCAAATGGTGGGGTTGGAGGTTGTGGTCGCCTGAGTTTTGCACTGATGTGAACGGTCAGCTGTTCAGCAACAATTAAGGGCGAGATGAGTGTGTCCGGCCAGACCACTGACGGCACCTTCGTGGCGATTGGTAGGGGGCACCCTGCGAATCACCGAGCCAATTCATTGATTTGCAGTGTGCCTAAAGTGCAACCTGGGACTGAGACATGGATGGGTAACAGTATCTGCGCTGATTTGCTTCTCGCATTCAGAAGGAACTTCTGTGTGTGCATGTTGTGTGTGAGCTCACGCCGGGACCAGCTTGCACGTTGTTGGCAGTCACAGCGCTTCGAAAACAAGTGGTGAGATACCGGGGTGACCGCCGGAACCAGGCTCTAGACTACACCCGTGGCAAGAAGGTAACTCATGCTAGAATAGGGAACCTTGATTCGCATGCTTGTGCAGCTGTGCACGACTCAAGTTGCTTACTGGAAGAATTTGAGGCGGGTCGACACCAAGAAAGAGGCTAAGGATAGACTTGCATTGCAGCAGTGCGTTGGTGGTGCATCTTGCCAAACTCATGGGTGCATCGCTGCGTTTGCCTCGCAGGAAGGTCAAAGCGAAGGCGAAGAAGCAAGGGTCGCAGCTCTAGCCTGAGAGCCTAAGCATTCCCACTTGGTTGTTTGGGTAGAGTCTTGAGGAGCTTGGAAGCTGATGTTGAAGCTGGCGAGCTTTCGCAGAGTAACTCCACCATCGATCTTTTCGGCAACAAAGCCGCCGGAGATCTTAACGGTGCGAAGCACTCCATAGAAGATGTACCTCGGGTGCTCCGAGAGGACGAGCATGCCGTTGAAGCTGCAACTGCTGCTGTTCAATCGGAGCATGTTGGAGCCCAAGTCTCTCTGCTGAGCAAGGCTCAAGCACCCATTTGACTTTCGTTGCATGCCGAAGGCAAGGCGTTGAACCCACGTGCAGATTTCAGCACGGTGACCTTATGCCTCCAGACTTTAACCACAAACCCAACGAGCAAAGCTGGTTGGGGCTGTGGCTTTCGCTGGAGCGCGCGAAACGCAGCTCCGCTCTGACAAAAGCTTTGGGCTGAGTGGCTTGGACTGAGCGTGGGCAACCTGCCGAATGCTGACGAGCCTGCCAGGTAGACGCCACCCATGTGCTTGATGTGGAGGTTGAGGCACTTTTCTCCCGACTGCTGCGTTTGGTTCTATAGATGGCGGCCTCTGGCAGCCAGGTGGCCACGCCGGACCAGCGCATCTTGAAACGCCCGGCATCCTCAGAGCTCTGGGAGGAGCACGCGGCTGAGCCTTGTGATCGGCAGGCGCAGTGTTCGTCGGAGAGCTGCACCGAGGTTTCAGGCAGAGGCTCGGAAGAAAGGTCAAGCACCTCAGAAGCTCTGGCTGCTTTACGCATGCGCAGCGCTCTGAGAGCAAGGTTGGCCTAGGTGGGGGTGGCTTTGCCGCATGCGACTGAATCGCAAGATGCGGCGGAAGTATTATTGATGCATAAACAGGCGCCCTCAGCAGGCCCAGCCAACCTAATGACACACGCAGAGGAAATTGCAAGACCATGCAGTTGCTCGATTTTTCAGTTTCCGGCGCCCTGCATTGCGAGGTTGTGGAGAATGACCGATAGCCGCGCGCCCAGAGGGCTTTCGGAGATTGATGGGGGCCGGGGCCCCGCATGGTTGGCCTTTTCCACGTGGTTTTTTGGGGATAAAAATTAGCCGCCCCCCTGATAGCCCTTTTTTAGAGGGAGGGGCTTCATTTCAGTGGAAAGGGCCAACCCTGGACCCAAGCCCCAGTCCCGCCGGCTGAGCAAAGCTGGGGAAAGCGGCTTGCGAACCGAACCGGCACGAGTGGCAGGCGGATCGCGCATGGGGAAAAACCGGGGGCGAGTGAGGCACTGGCCGCTTTGGCTCCGCATTTCTTGCTTCCTTTATTCCGGCGCTGGCTCCGCTTTGCTGCGATCTGCGGCCATTTTGGTGAGTGTATTGCTGAAGTATGCAACGGATAGCACTCTTCCAGCAGCAAGAGTTTCTATGATTGCCACAGCTTGGAACCAGGGTGCGAAAGGGCATCAAACAGCAGACGGCTCAACTTTTGCCAAGCTTCAACCCATCCACAGCCTAAAGAACACCAAAACGTTTACGATCCAAAGGCAGCCATGTGGCAAATGCATGCTCACCATGAAAGAGGCATGGGGTGAAATTTGTGAACGGCTCGTGCCCTTTCACCCCTCTCAAGGCCAGTGACGGTGATACCAAGATATCCATCACTGCCTTGGAGGACTGGGTGGGCCGTTAATTTGATTCATCGCATTTTGGCCGCGGCCACACATCACGGATTTGTCAACATTTGGGCGCCCAGTTCAAGTGGGGAGCGGGGGCAAAGAAGGTGCGCTCAAAAAAGCGGGGACACCCAGATGCGTAGGAATTTCAGTGGGGAACGCCATGCCAAATGGTTGGTTCTAAGGATTTTCCGATTGCACCCTGAAATTGCACCTTGGGGAAGTTACCCAAGTAATCGCGGATAAACCCAAATAATCCAGTTTAGTGGGGAACGCCGTCCATGTCAATTGGTTGGTGGATATGAATCCCAACCAAGTGACGTCCAATTGAAACTCATCCAAACTCCACGAGGAGTTTCTCCGGCAGTATGGTCTCTGCGAAGCCTCCGCCGCTGCTGCAGCCGCGGCCGCCGCGGCGGCGGCCCGGGCCCGAAGCGGGCAGAAGCCGTCGCAGACTTTCTGGATGTGAGCTGTGAGCCAAGGCGCTTCCACTTCCACGAGGCAAGTGTGCCCAAATCGAGGACAGGACGTGCTGCAGGTATTTTGTTCAGAATGTTTCTTTGTTGTGCTGTCTCTTGACATTCTTTGTGCTTGGCGCTGTGTGGTTCAGTCTGCTTGTAGGCAAATCTCGCGACGCAGCGGTTGAGGCCTCCGAAGGGAGAGGGGCAGAGCGGCTGGGGCTGAGAAAGATGCACCGCACGCGCAGGTTCATATGGGTTCTGCTGCCCGAATTCCTAGAGAGACCCACCTCAGTGGCCGCTGCAGCCGCCATGGGCTTGGATTGTCGCCAGGTGCGGTGCCTGGGGAAAAATCCGAGGTGACCAGCCGCGCAGTTAACGCCCACCTCCGTCACAACGAGCAGCTGCATGCCCTCTGCTCAGCCTGGGCTGGTGCAGGGGTGTGCGTTCGGGAGGGGGTGCCTTGGCCTCATAGCCTTAGGTCAGCCATCTGAGTCTGCGGCTCAGAAATCCAGCGCCGGAGAGGGCCGGCATAAAGCCGCTGGCCCATGACTTGTGGCAGAAAGCAGCTGCTGTGGGCTCGCGAGTGGCCATGGTTGGAGGTGCTGGTTGATTGCCCTGCATGTATCAGCGGCAGCCAGCCTGCTGGCCTGTCTGGGCTAGCTCTTTTGGGCTTGGAATTGAGGCACTGAGGGTCACAGTAGCATGGGTCAAATAGTATGTTTCTTTTGTGCGCACTAAACAAAGCCTCACATCCGACACATCCGAAAACACAGCTATCACCATTCTTTCCAGACTTGGTGCAAAGCTGAGGTTTGCACCCCAACTCCCTGAAGTTGGGCGAAAGGCTTCGGGCCGTCGGGGCCGAGCCGCTGGGTTTCTGGAAAAAATCCAGGCCGCTGACGGGCTGCTTGACGAATGTGGTCTTAGAGAGGATCGTGAGCGTCCGGGCCCCCGAGAAGCGCTACGAGGGCACCCCAACGAGTCGGTCAACGCCAGGTGCAGTTTCACATGCCGCGCCTCTTGGACGTGCTGGCTTTGTTGGAAGGACCGGCTTGCAGGGAAACGCGTGTTCTTTTTTTTTTCTCCTCCTTCCGCCGCACAAGAAGGGCCGGCGCTTGGAAGGACTCACCGGCAGCTCCTGCAGGTTGGGTTTTGGTTTGCTGCCGAAAGGGTGTAAGTGAAGTTTGTTTCAAGAGGATATGGTTTGAACAACAATAGCATTGCCGCACTGCAGACTGCTGCTCGCCATTTTTTATTCGAAGTTCCCATGAACAGCCGCATTGCTGCACTGCGGACTGCGGCTCACCATTTTCTGCTTGGAAGTTCCTCGGCTCCTGGCCTCGGCAGTCTGCCAGTCTAGCAGGTGCCTTCGAAAGATCGCTGACCGGCAGCTGGGCCTCGGGTTCTTGAGCCTGGCGGTTGCGTTTTTCGCGGAAGCCCAACGCATCCGGGGGGTGGGCCCACCCCACATCAGCAGAGCAGCATGGAACCCTAAAAACCCGGGCGCCCAGAAGGAGCTTTCTCTACAAATTTGACGTGTTCTTTTCTTCGTTTTCGTCTGCCTCGAACATACCCTGTGCCTCCATGCGGCTCTAGTCAGTGGCCCAGCCCAGCGAGCCGCAATGCCGAGCCCACCACTCGCCGTGGAGCCGGAGGCAGAAGCCCTCCCGCGCGATGAGGCGGAGAACCTGACCGTCTCGGTCATCCCTGGGAGTACCTTGTTTTGAACCTACGTGAAAGTGCGCGGCACCAGTCTTCTTTGCTTGTTTTTGGTGTGTGTGTGTGTGTGTTAACAGTTAACAGGGTACCCTTTTGGGGTCGGTTGAAAGGGAAACCAAAAGGAAACCGAGAAAAAATACATACTCATTTGGTCATCCCCTGGACATATCCAAATAAGGGAAGTCGTGCCACCTACTTCGACCGAAGCCTAAGCTCTTTTGGCGAGGTCGTGTGTTTTCATCCATGTTCGCAGTTCCCGCCAGCCTGGCCAGCCGAGGCAAGGCTGTCACGTGTGGCGTCCGGAATTTGGTCAGGACGCTGATCCGCATTCGTACGCCCACAACGCAGCCGGTGAGCAGGCCCGCGATACAGGTGGCTTGCGTGCTGGATCGTTCCTTGACTTGCACATTCGTTGCTTTGCCAGTCGCTTGGTCAACACATGACATTTGTTTTGGCCGGAAGAGGCCACCAGCCCAGGTTCAGGATCAATGCGGGGGGAAAAGCTGAAGTTTGCCAAGCGGGCGTGTGCCAAGCTGGTGAAGCATCTGGATGCCCATGACGTGCTGCACTTCATCTCCTACGACCACGCGGTGCTGACGGTGTTCTCCAACGGGGATTTGTCCGAGGAGGGCAAGGAGAACCTGAAGGAGCAGATCCAGGCGGTGCGCCCGGGTGGCGCCACCAACCTCTTCGGTGGTCTCCAGAGGGCCGCGGAGTTGTTGCAGCCACTCGATACATCGACCTGTGGAGATTTGTTGGTCCTGGCAACTGCTTTAAGTGTGGCCTCCAAAAGGTGATCCAGAGGATTTGCATTTTTTCAAGGGCCTTTTATGGGGATAGACCTTACAGGGACACCAAGACAAGCAAGCTTGTTTTTTTTTTTTTTTTTGAGGGGGTCGCCTAGAAAAGACAAGCTTAACCCCAAGTGAGGTCGGACTCCAGCGCGGATCAGTCCCCAGGAAGTGGCCACGTGAAGCGGATATTTCTGTTCAGTGATGGGCTTGTGAACTCCGGGGTGACCGACCGGGCGGAGATTTACCGGCAAGTCTCTACTTGGGCTGACCGACGTGGCCTCACTGTCTCGACCTTTGGCATCGGAGCCGACTTTGATGAACCTCTGATGCGAGGGATTGCCGAAGCTGGCAAAGGGCGGTACACCTTCCTTGCAACGGCGCCCGACATCACTCGCTTGGTGTCGAAGTCCATCCACGACCTCTTGAAGCTCTACGGATCAGAGGCTGTCTTGGACATTCGCGGAGGTGCGCATACGGTGGTGGAGAAGGTGTACGGTGGGGACGACGATGAGGAGCTCCCCAATCCCGCCACGGCAGGTGTGCTGCAGTTGGGCGACTTGCACGACGGAAATGAGCGCATGGTGCTGCTGGAGCTGGCGAGCTCTCCGGCGGGGGACTGTGAGGATGGCCAGAGCTTCGCGGCGGCCGAGTGGATGCTGTCCTGCCAGCGCAACGGCTCCCTCCTGCAGTTCTCGGGCTCCGTGACGCTGAAGACCAGCCGCGAGCGCCAGGGCGAGGAAGACCCGGCAGTGAAGGCCATGTTCACGCTGCGCCGCGCCTCAGACATGGAGAGCGAAGTGGCCGCCCAGCTGCAGGACCGCAACCTCTCGGGGGCCAGAGACGTGAAGACCCGGCAGCTGCTGATGCTGTCGCAGGCCCTGGATGTGCTGAGGAGCAGCTCGGTGGAGCCTGTCTTCCTGGCTGCCCTGGAGAGGGTGCATGAGCGAGCGCAGCGGGTGGCTGAGAAGCTGGACAACGATGCTGAAGACATCGAGCTCGCCCGGCGTCAGTGTGTGCAAGAAGTCGACTTGACTCGTGCCCTGAGTATCGCGGGCTGGTCCGACGGGCTGGATTCCTCAGAGGGGAGTCCGTGTGGGGATTGGGAGGGCCACAGTGGGCATTCCAGCCCCAGGCTGCGTACGCGTGCGGCGAGCGGTTCGGGCTCGGACATCTCCGGCGCGTCCCTTGTATCCAATGAGCCTCCGGTGGCCGCGCCTCAGGCAACTCAAGCCCGCGAGCCTCAAGAATCAGCGGCTCCGCAAGCAGAAGGGAGACAGCGCAGTGAAGCACAGACTGACCGCAGCTGTGAAGTCATGTAGCTGTTTTGGTGGCAGCGTCGAGTTCTTTTAAAGGCTTCGAGCCTGAACCTTGTTTGTCTATCTGCGAGCACAGTACAGCTAGTTGCAATCGCAGAGCTGAAAAGAGGCACCTCCCTGCGGTGTTTGCCAGCCTATCGAGCCACTCTGCACGAGACTTGTGTTGCACAGCTTCCCTTTGGACATCTTTGGACTTATAGGGGTCGGCTGTAGGATGCAGAGCTCAGAGCCTCACGAAAACCAAAGCTGCATGAATGTCGGACCATTCCCAGGTCGCGCTGGCGTCCACGGGAGCTCCGTTTTGAGAGCATGGAGGCGTCAAGACATGGGCTGAAAAAAATACCCCGCGCCTTTTCGTTATGTAAGGGGCCGTCCCTTAACTTGTTTCGCAGGCCAAAACCATTGTAAACCGATACAGAGGAAAAAAAAACCGATACCCCCAGAAGCCATGAAGACACACATCAGGTCCTAGTTGTTGTCGCAAACCAAGATTGCGGAATCATAAATTTGCAGGGCCCAAACCGATACCCAAACCGATACCCAACCGATACCCAACTCATTGGCCGCCATGCCGAATCCAACCAGCTGCCCTGCAGCCTTCTCTGGAGCTGCCAACATGTACTTTGTGTACTACATTTGTACTGAAAAGTTGCGACTGCCGCTGTGGAGCTGCCAAAATGTACTTCGTATACTACACCATACTACACTTGCTTGCACTGAAAAGCTGCGACTTTCGAGCCGGAGCTGCCAAAGTGTCCTGCGCATACTACTGAAAAGTTGCTACTTTCCAGCTGGAGCTGCCAAAATGTACTTTGTGTACTACACTTGTACTGAAAGTTGTGATTTCCAGCTGTGGCTGGGAGCTGGCAGAGTGTACTTCGCCTACTACACTTGTACGGAAAAGTCGCGACTTTCGAGCCAGAGCTGCCAAAACACTGCAAACCGATGCAGAGGAAAAAAAACCGATACTGACCGATACTGAGGCATAAGGATACAAGGGTTGTCCACGGGGTTTGTTTTTCAACCCACATGCGCAGAGTGTGTGTTGGCTTGTGCGTGCGCCGAATGGCGAGGAGGAGCAGCGCGCGCAAGCAGCCAAAGTTACGGAGATGTCGGCGGCTCTTGCGAATGGAGCCTTTGGTTGCTTCTGCCCGGGCACCGAACAGAGGCTGAACGCGCTGCCCAGTCTGCAGCACCTCGAAGGGCCGATTGGCCAAGCTTCCATGTGACGCATTGCGGCGCTTGTTGGAAGCGGATGGGATGCCAACTTAGGCCAGTGTTCTCCGTTTTGCTGAGAGCTCGCAGGCAGGATCATGCTTCGCGGCTGTCAGCAACAGTTCTGACTGGATTCGAGGCATGCCGTCACGGAAAGAGAAGTGGTGGCCCAAGTGGTGCCGAGAACTTGCCATTGTTCACAAAGTGCATGTGCTGCAGGCAGTCGAAGATGGAGAGAGGCCAGGGGTTCAGCGTGTGAGAGCCTGGCACTTTCAGAGAGATGATGCAGGAGCAGCGAGGCTGGCGATCCATGCGCGACTGCTCCAGGCAGATTCAGGGCGGTTGGCAATATGATCTCATGTCAGACTTGAGTGTGTTGGCTTGATGTTTGCAGGAAGGAAAGGGAAATTCTAGAAAATTGGAAGGAGAACAGCTTGCAATGTTGACAGCCTGCACATCGCCTCAGCGTTTCGGAGCTCCGTGTCGATGATTGACTGCTGAATCAGCGCAACGTGCTTGGGCTTGGTGGAGCTTGTGTCACTACGTCGTGTTTGCCCTTTTGAGTTGCTGAAGCTGATCCATGTTTCTCTGCCAGCCCTCCCCCCCCTTTTCTTTTCTTCTTCTCTTGGAAGAGCCTTTTTCAGGTTGGCTTCAATTAAGACTACCCGGAAAAGCCATGTTGGGGTTCCCTCTTTTTGGACACCTGCCCTTCAGAACTCGTAGCACCTGTTCGGAACGACGGCCCCGCAGGCACCGCAGCACCTCAGCTCGGTGTCTCGAGCTGAGCCTTCCCGTTTGTCGCAAAAGCAACTGTTTTTCGTGGAGCCGAGGAGTCTCAACTGGCCAGCCGCTGCTAGCTTAGAACTGAGGGTTTTGTTTATAAGGCGCGCGGAAAAGGGTGCTACTCGTACACCACATTTCCGTGTTAAAAGGTGCTAAAGACGTGTGTGTGTGTGACTTTGTCACTTGGTTTATCCTTGTTCTTTTTCTGTTGGGGCATCTGGTCCGACGTAAACATGTCGCTTGCCCAACGCCGACCAATTGAAGCCGTGCTGATCCTTTTCGGAGTGGCCCCAAACGGCTCGCCCTTTGGGCAACGGAGAAGAACATTTTGCGCGTAGATCCGGTGAAGTTTCACCCCGCCCGAGGCCTCCGCGTTCTCCATTTGATCGATCTGTGCGCCGCGGATTTGTTTGGGCTGTTCCCTTCGGGCAGCGGGCCTCAAGGACCGCCGGTTTTTTGGCCGGGGGGTTGGACCACGAACGCAGGTGTTGGACCATTTTTCTGCGCTGGGACCCGGGTTTTTGAGTACCGCAACGGCCCCTCGTCCGTTGCTAAGCAATGGAACATGACCTGGGTTCTGGCAGGAGCATGCGCTTCAACCGCGCCTTCCTGTCGTGGCCTCATGAATGGGGTGCGGTCAAGAGCACTCCTTCTGCGAGTATTTTTTTTGGTTGTTGGGTACCCTCGTCAATTTGCCTTGAAGGGAAGCTGAAGGAAAAGCCACCTGTGACTGCGCGTAAGGCCCAAATCTTCAAAAGCTGCTGTTGTCGGGCGCCTGGCATGGCACACGGGAACAGAGACATGCGGGACTGAGACTGACGAGGCTGAATTTGCCAGCCGCTGCTCCTGGGCTGACTGTCCAAGTGCTGGCCTTGTAGGGGATGCAGGGACAGCAAGAGAGAGGGTCAGAACACATGGCAATGCATTTTAATGAGGAACCCTCTGAAAAGTGGTTGGTGGACATGAATCCCCACTTGAATATGTCCACCAAAGGGTCCCTAATCAAGATTCATGCCCACATCAAGCAGACCCAGGACATGTCTATGAGCATTTTGCTCCAAGGGAATTGTGACATGCCGACAAGGTGGGCATAACAATGTTGTGACTGTTTTTTTTTCTTCCTTGGGTCCGGCGCATGTTGCCGCCGTGTGGCCCCTCCAAGTTCTTGGCTTGTGTTTTTCCCCAGGCAGTTGAAAGGGCAGGTTTGGCTGGTGCGGGGTGATGTGGGGTTTGGTGCACGGTGATTGAGCATGCGAGTTGGAGCAGGTGTGGCTATTTCGGGTCTATGCTGTCTTATTTTTTTCTCCTCACGGTGTCGACCCGGGGGCTGATGCAAGACGGACGGGACAAGGGTAGGAAGGAAGCGAGCCAACGGCATTGCGTGTTCCACCTGGAGCATGTCGCAGTGGCATCGGGCACTGTTTTTGCATTGAGGTCATCAGCAAGTTCTTGCCCGCAACCAAGTCTTCAGTTCGTAGTTTTGAATTGGTGGGTTTGGGGATTTGTAGCTACATGGGAAACCACCAAACCACCAAACCACGGGCTCCACGAATTGCCCTCCCACCAATTAACAGGAAGCACAACAATTGCAACTCGAGGCCATTGGCTCCCGACCTCAAGGAGCTACAGCCGCCTACTCATCCAAGCGCGCCAATGGTATCGAGCTTTCTGTGAGCGAGGCTGGACTTCCAATACTTCGACCCCGCGTTCTGGGACCAGGAGGCACAATCAAAAGCCAGGAAGGTGTAGTTGGTCATGGATGCGTTGGTATCTTCATCTTCCGTGGCCTCCCTGTGCATTCTCAGTGCCTCGTGCTTTTAATCCGCCATGCCAAGGCATTGGAAGCATTAATCACGAAGGTGCAAGCTGGATGCCTAGCCGCGCCAAAAACCTCGTGGGTGTTTGGCCTCGTGTTTGGGGGCTTGGCCCGGCGCGTGCAAAGGCACCTCCGTCCAAGATCCGCAAGTTGGTTCTCGATTGGTGCCGCTTGGGTGATGCAGGGGTACGATGTGTCTGCGCCGGGCCCCAAGCGGCTGCAATCATTTGAGTGTGGGTCAAAACTAAACCACCAGGGACCGCAGGTTTTGGTCCATGTTTCCATTTACCAGGGCTCCATTTCGGATACCCTATTTTGACCCACAGCCATTTCTTTCATAGGCAAGCATTTGTCTGCGCAGCCTAAGGCGGCAGTGGCCAGGCATTGCGGAACAGCTGCAGCCATAGAGCCCGAGGATTTTTTGGCAGGGAAGCGATTCGTGCCAAGGACCCAGCCAAGTGCCGCACCCAGAACCCGCGATGCCAGTGTCTCCTGTTCTGAGAGACCCCCTTTAGGGGTGGTTCTCGAGAGAAAGCCAAGAACCATTTTGAGGGGATCTTTTATTTTGAGATTTCAGACATGGGCGTCACATGGCTGAGGTCAGGCTCCGTCAGGGAGCTGTCGCTGGCACATTGCGAACTGAAGGACTGGGCTGGACAATGTGGCCCAAAAGGTCCGAAAGGAAGCAATGTGAAGGTTGGGGGTCGAACGCGGGCGGTGAGCGCTAGTTGAGAGGTGGCTTTAGCCTCAGGATCTCGCGCCCGTGTGCGAGATGTTAGAAACGCCTGGCTGTCCTTTGACCTGTTTGGACCTGCTCGCGCCCCAGCGCCGGGGAGCACTCGCTTGCCAAGCTGCTGGCATGGCATGCCACGGTCCATGACGGGTTTTGTGGTGCTTTTGTCATGGCGCCCCCTCGCCCGGGCCGGGCTTTTGTGGTTTTGGCGGGGAATGGAAGGTCGGCCAACGGCTTTGGAGACGAGGAGGCCGTAAAACTGGCCAAATCCCTTCCACTGTCGGGGGCTCAAAAATGAAGTCTGAGCTGCGCCGGTGATTTGCTCCAGGTCCAAAGTCAAGGAGCTCCGCCTGCGAGATTCGCAGGTCTCAGAGCGCATGCCGGCGGGAGTCTGAGACGCGTTCTCGGGCGAGGGGCCAGAGATTTCAGCTTCGGCCTTCGCTGCTGGTTCTTCCATCGAACGCCACGTTTGACGTTTGGCCAGGCCATGCAACGGCGAAAACAGACATTTGAGTGGCCTCCAAGTTTTGCATTCGGGTGATCGTCGCGCCCCTTGTGGCCAACGTCCTCCCATAAGATGCCCTCCCTGCCAGGGGGTTCCCTTGAAACGGAACACGGCCTCCCCCCAAAACGTCGAAGGGTTCCATGAGGGTGGGACCTGGCGAGGTGAAAACCAAATGGTCCTGGAGCTGCTGACGAAAACCTCCACAGCCCGTGGGAAAGAATCGCTTTGCTTCGCTTGCGACGTGGAGACATGTTCCTGGATAAGGTCAATGAGTTATGAGGGAATTCTCACTTCCTAAGTTCCTGGGCTTGAAACCTTTGGAGAAGATCAGTTTGGGGTGGTCAATACGAGGCTCAGATTTTTGTTGGCCATTCCACTCGGGAAGTGAGGAGTGCAGGGTGTGAACCCAATATTGGCACAAATCAATTGGTGCGTGGTTGAGTGCATATTCAAGAGGCTAGGGGTGAATGTTTGTTTCGATGGTTGTCTCTATTTCCGCCTTTCTCTACGTGCCTCCTTTGAGTTTCTGCCCTTGTTTGCTTTGACGCCTTTCTTTGTTTGTTACCGTGTTTGTTGAGGCGACTTCGGCGTTAGCACTCACACGTCGCACGCGTGCGCGCACGATATCTATTAATATGTTTTTATCGTGTTCACTCTTTTTTCGGCAAGCACAGACAGACATTCTAACATTTGGAGTATATCTTGAAGTATATGCACATCTCCGAGCACGTCCCCCCTTCTGTATATTTATTTGTGTGTGCATCTGCACAAATAGGCGAGGGATTCTGCCTCTGCGAGTCGGGTCCCGGGACACATACTGTACTCAGACGCAAGACTTTTTCAAACTTTTGACTTTTGGTGTGTACCACAGTACCCTGGCCAACGAATCCTGTCCATTTCGTGTGTTTTTTAAGCCACTGAATACGGGCACTTGCCACATTTCGCGGCTTGCATCGGGCTATTGCATCTAGCACTTGAATTATCGTTCCATGTTTGGGCTCAAAGACCGGCCTAAATCGATTTGCATGACACGCAGCTACAGCACGCTTACTGCTTGAGTATCTTTTTGGGGAGGTTAGGCACTCAGCGCAAGTCAAAGGCCAGAGATGGGATATTTGTTCTCTTCTGGACCTTTCGTTTATGCAAGCTTGTGAGCAAATTGAAAGTATAGTTGCTGACAAGCCAAAGTGCAGCTTCCGAAATGGACTTGGCCAGGGTCACAGCACGGCCCTTATCCCATGAAAGTGTTTGCTGAGCCCGGATTATGATGGACAACTGTAGTTTTCGGACTTTTGCAGGTGCAGGCGCCAAGCAGACTGCTAAGTGCGCTGGCTCCTTGGTTACTTGTTTCCGTCCGGCAGTCAGCGCATTCCAGTGCGTTCAAAGCAGGCTGGTGAAAATTGGCAACAGTCTGAGGCCAAGTGGCAGTCTCAGAAGACCAAAGCCATGCCTTGGCTACGATTTGGACAGGAGCAGCACCTGTGAATAGTTTTAGCTACTGACCGTAGCTTCATGGCATGTCAGGAGCGGCCGAGCGACGAAGAGACTATCACAGGAGGCTTGGGAGGTGCTGGCCTCTGATTTTCTCAAAGCCGCTGAGCAGTTTCAAAGCCGCTCAGCTGCGGCAACAGCACGGGTGAAGGTGAAAGGGCTGGGTGGCCGCGCTTTGGTTTGCTTGTTGTAATCTTATGGAGGAATTGAGCGCTGCAATGCTTTTGCTGTGCCAATAGAAATCGGACGCAGCCCCAACAAGTCGCAAGACACACATATGCACACAGAGCTAAACGGATTTTGCTGGCTTGAGGACATACACGTGCTCTCAGGCTGCCACAACAACTGCAGTTTTGACGGCATGCGCGAGGCAATGTTAAGCTGGGATTGTGGCAAGCTGGTTAGAAGGCTGGTATGGTTGATCAGGCATCGTGGCCGGAGACGCTGGGAACTGAGTAGCTTGCACCATCAGGCAGCGCGTGCCCCATTTTGCATCGCTTGCTTTGAGGCCTGGTGGCATGCAAAGCGGCAGAGGTAAAGGTTACAGAAGCTTGGAGAGCAATTGTCTCAGGAGGGGGGGTTTAACTCTTATTTGATACGTTTTTGAATTCTGTGGGACCTAATGCACGCGCCGAAATGCCGCAAACAAACCAACTCCAAACCAACAACCTTAAACCAATCTCTCAACCCACACTGAGCTGGGCCCTACACACACCCGCAAGAATCCTGAACCCACCCTAAACCGACTTCAAACCAACTCTAAACCCATCCTACATTTTGTAAACCAATCTCTTAGCCCACCCTGATCCCACCCAAAACCAGGGCAATCCTACCTAAAACAAATCCTTAAACAAGCCAAGCTCACCATCAACCTAACCCCAACCCACCCCCTAGTGCCAGCCCAAGCCCACCCAAATGCCACGTTGAATGATCTTTAAAGCAACCTGATCCCACTCTAAACCAATCCAGACCATGCATTAGCCTCGACACAATCTCTGAAGCACCCTAGACCAGAAGCACTTGAGGATGCGACGAAGGAAGGGAAGAAGGCGGCTCTCGGGGTTTCTCCACATGGTGGGAATTCGTTGGTTGGTGGCTCAAGGGAAGCCAAAAGGAACCTCTTTTTGGGGTCTCTTGTTTTGAGAAGCACCTTCGTGTCCCGGAAAAGTGAGGCCGTCGTGTTGTTTTGTCCCTGTCAAAACTCCCCGTCTCCCCTCCCGAAACGCTCGCGCCAGGCCACGGAGTTTTGCAAGAAGGGCTCCAGAATAGAGGTGTTGGCTCCCTCCCAGCGCTGGCGCCGCAACCCCAAGCTGTTTTTTTCCAAAGCCACATGCATGCGACATGGAAGCTAAGGCGAGGCACAGGTCGGGGCCTGGAATTATGCAGTGAATATGTCATTGCGGCCCAGCGCACCCGGCGCATACCCGGCGCACCCTATCTCGCAGTCACCCGTTCCCATTGCACTGGAATATGTCGATCTACCCTTTTGATCTCGCTGGCGTCAGTTTGCATGGGCGTCTGCACGCGCATGTTCCATCATTCACTGGAACTGCGCATTTTCCAGTGCTGCAGGTGGTTCGAGTTGGGGGTGGTGTTGCTCGTGTTCACTACTCAGGTGAACCTGCCGCTTTGAGCCACTGGTGAATACAATCCGCGCAGGCTATGATGCACAGTTCGATGAGGAGGTTCCCTTGGACGATGGAAGGCCATGGCTCTGGACCATCCAACAGTTTCGAGAGTAGGGGGCAACATACGCCAGGGTCCAGGTCTTTGGCTGGCTGCCCCGCCCAAAAATTGCTTCACCAGCCTGGTTTCCGGGTTACAGAGGCTTGTGGCTATGATGTGTTTTGAGTCTCTGAGCGGCTCAAGATCTGATGAGACCCCGGCTTCCTGGGGAGTGGGGGCTTGCTTTGCATGGATTTTGTGGGCATCTTCTCTAAAGCGAGGCGACGTGAGCCACAAACAAAACCGGGTAACTAAAGGGCAGTAAGTCCCAGTCCCAGGCAGAAGTCAGAGCGGATATCGGCCCTTTTGGCTCTTTACATGCTTGGTGTTCGTTTGGCGCATTCTTTTTTTACGTATTTTCACTGACTGTTGGAAGATGATTCATACCATGTACACATCTATCAAAGTTGCCCATGATGGGTTTTGGGTAGACCGTTTCAGGTTTGACCATGACTCCTCCCGTGGCCATGCCGATTCCTCCCGTCTTCAGTCAGTTCCTTCAGGCTCCGACCATGGGGTCAGCTGCGCGGCGAAAAGCTGGCAGAGCGCAAGGAAGGCGGGATTCTGAGGGCACGAAATTGGGCGGTCTTTTGCCCAAACAGGGGTGCCTGAAGATAGGGGTCACCCAAAAAGTGGTTGATTTCTCTTTTTTTATTTATTTTCCCTTTAAAAGTACTCCAAACAGGGGCACCCTCAAAAAAGACACTGATCATATGCCAATGATGTGTAGCCCTTTCTGCATAGCGCGAACCTGCTTGAGGCTTTCAGCTACAGATAGATGCTGGATGCTGTCCAGGGTGCGGGGTGCGCTTACAGTGCACCGACAAAATGGCCAGGCGCTCAACTTTTTTATCCTGCACTTCGTGCCAAATTACCGAGGAAGCTCAATGAGATCCATCGTTGCATTCAACCATTTGATTTGATCGACGACCTACGTTTAGCTCCGTGGCTCGAAGTTGCCAGCCATGAAGAACAGCTCACAAAACTGGTTCCTTCCCTTTCTCTTTTCAGGCGTCTTGTAGGCCTAATTTGCCAGTCTCATGTCTCAAGAGGAAGGGAAATAATGATAGCTTTGGTTGACTAGCAAGTAGCTTTTCAGGTGCCAGGTAGCCAGTGATTTCTCTGCACGCTGGCCGCGCGGCTCGCGCGCCCCATGGGGCCATACCAGGAGGCAGCGCCGAGTCCCGGTCCGCCGGAACCTCCGCCGCGGCGCCGCCGGCAGCTGCCGGCGCAACTGGACATTGAGCTGCCAGGAAGGGCCAGTGAGCCGAAAGCAAAGCCCGGGGAACTTTCTGGCTCTTCGGTTTGCCGGATCTTTGGACTTTCTTTCACGTTTTGGGCAAAGATATATTTTTCGACTGGACCCACAACAGCACCCAAGGTAAGTGAAGGTTAAGAAGGGGTGGTCCCAACCGCGAACAGTGCCGCGCATGGTTTTTTGGTTGAACGTTTTGAGAGAGGTGCTTGCGCGGCGGCTTTACATTCTGTTGGCAGGTACCTGGCCTGAAGCTTACCCTGCATTTTGACATGCTTCAATGACTTTAACCAACATGTTTAGCATTCCTCTCAGAACGGGGCAGGGCCAGACGCATTTTGATCGCACCTGGATTGATGGTCTGGATGGATGTTGGCTTGCCTTGATCTCATAGTTTTTTTTTTTTTTTGGGGGGGGGTCATGCTATGCGGTGTAGTGTATATCTTCTTTTTCTCAAGGGCAGCAGTTTTTCGATCAGGTGCGCCAGTGCTGACGGCTAGCCAGCCAGAGATCTCACCTCGAGTTCAAGTCGTGCCCTCGCTCGAGGTGAACACAGCCAAGAGCCCGCTAGGCAGAAGTTGGACTTCTCGTCAGACCTTGTTGCCCAGACAGCATATTCGCCGTGGATTTCTGCGAGGCGCCACGGCTACTGCCCGATTGGATGCAGGCGCTGGCAGCGTCATCCATTGGCGCCGCCTGAAGCGGGGGTTGCAGGAGGGCAGAGTGCAGGATAACTTTGTTTGGTCGGAGGCCGACGAGCTTGGACGAGGATCTTTCGGCCGAGTCTTCCGTGGGAAGAGCTGCTACGACAGCAACAAGTCGGTCGCAGTCAAGCAGATGTCGCGTGCCTCAGTGGGGGATGTTGAGAAGCTATGGGCAGAGATCCACATCCTGGCAGACCTGGACCATCCCAATATACTGCGGTTCCTTGAGGCCTATGAGGACAGGTGCAACTTCTACATTGTCACGGAGGCCTGTTTGGGTGGGAACCTGCTGGAATGGCTGGACCAGCTGAAGGGCCAGGAGGCGCTCATCTGCCGCGTCGCCCACGAGGTGACCGGAGTACTGGCCCACTGTCACTCCCGGAGCGTGTGCCATCGAGATCTCAAGCTGGAGAACATCCTCTTCCTCCGGCGCTCCTTGCAGTCCCCCATCCGGGTGGCCGACTTTGGGCTCTCCAAGCAGTGCTCGGCCTCCATTGTGTCCAAGCGCCTGGAGTGGAACAAGGCCAGGGCGGCTGCCATAGCAGGGGGGTGTGAGGCCGAGAGAAGTGAAGCTGAACCCAAGAGGAGAGGCTCCGCACAGTCGAAAGGCGGAGAAGCGACGGTTTGCCGCACTCCTAATCCATCTTTGGTGCGGATGAGGTCGGTTGCAGGCACCCCAGAATACATGGCGCCTGAGGTTATCAGCATCTTGAATAGGCGGGTGGCAAATCCGGAGAAGCCATTGGATGCCAACCACTTCCCCGACTTTTACGACCTTCGGTGTGACATTTGGTCCTTGGGGGTTTGTGTTTACACACTGCTCCACGGAGAGCTGCCTTATGACATGGAGGCCATGAGTGCCTTTGTGGCGGAAGGGGTGGCCCTGCCAGCCCTCACGCCAAGCCCGGCACTCGCCAACGGCTTCATTGACTCATGCTTGACGGCTGACTTCCAATTGAGGCCTGCGGCCAAACGGCTGCTGTCGCATCGTTGGTTCGAATGCCTGGGCGCCAATGCGGGGCCGACGCCGCACTCCACTTCTACGATCGCTTCTCGACTGCGAGCATTCTCCAAACTGTCCAGGTTCAAAAGAGCAGCCTTGCTGGCCGCTGCTCGAAACCTCGGATCCTACGAGCATGAAGAGCTCAGGCGCATTTTTCAGAAGGTGGACATACACAATACCGGGGAGGTGCACTTGACTGATCTGATGGAATATTTAGCCTTTGCCCCCTCCTCCCCTACAACAGGTCATCAGTGGGTGGCTGAGGCTGTGCGAATTCTTGATGCTGAATGCAAAGGCACTGTTGCTTATACGGAGTTTCTGGCGGCAATCATGGACCACAACATTGAAGAGCGCAAGGATTTGGCCCTTGCTGCCTTTCGAGGCTTCGACATTGACGGTGACGGCACCGTCACTGCCAAGGAGATGGAGAGGGTGATCGAGAACTGTGACGCAGCATTGGGGGATGTGCTCCTGGAGGGTGCAGAGTTGGACTTCGATGACTTCATGGGCCTTTTGAAAAGCGGCTGACAGATGTCGGATGAAATCCGGCGGCTGAATTCGCGGGCTTCATACGAAGCACAGTTTTCTTGGGTGAGGCCCGCGACGCCCCACGTGGTAGTTGCACTGCATGCAAAGGTACATTTGTTTAGTCTTTTTTGCCGGGCCCTTTGGGGCCAAGCGGCAACACTGCAGGGAAGGGCCACGTGGCCTCACAAAGTGAACCACCACACGCCTTCCTTCGAGGTTAAAGGATTTGCAGCGAAGGCTGCGTTGCGGCTGTAGTATTTGAATTTGTGTTTGTTTGCTGCCCCCTGTTGCGACCTCTCAGGCCTTAGGCTACATTCCGCGCAACAAGTTTGTCCAGGAGGCCGTGGGCGTCCGTTGGCCATCTCTTGCGTTTGCCTGGTGGCCAGGAAGCGGAGGATCCATCCAAGCCGCTGAATGCCGAGGATGAGGTGGCGTTGCTTTTGAAGGCTGGCGTGCCAGAGCCATCGCCGGTCCAAAGTGCGCCGGTCTAATGTGGCAGGAGGACAACGCTCAGGAACGGAACACCTTTGCCACTTGGCTCCGGGTGAAGCAGCAAGCATGGCGCTGCTTGCCTCGAGCGGTAAGGGTAAGCTCCACAAGTTGGTCTACCCAGGCCGTGCCCAGTCGATCATCGCAGAAGTTCTTCAAAGTGGTGGCGAACGTGTACCTGGACATTCGCAAGGCGCCCTCCGGCGCCATCTCTCCGCTTGGCAACACAACCTCCGTGCCTAGGAGCCGGATGTCAATGCGGAGCGCACTGGCGAGAGCTTGGTGCCAGTGCCTCAGGCGTTGCATGTGGATTTGACCCCTGGCCACCTGGGGCCAGCGAATGTGGCAACTTGGGCCTTTGGTTTGGTTTTCCATGGGCCCTGCGCCTCGTGTGGACCCAGGTTTGGCGAGCAGTTTCAGGTCGACGAGGTGTTGCTCAGCGTTCTGTCCTTGGGTGGAGACCAGCTAGCGCTTTTGCATTGGCTTTGATGGCTGCTGGGATTTGGGTGTGTCTCTAAGTGGGGCAACTCCCCCCCCCCCCACCCCAAAAAAAAGAAAACACAACATATACGGAGCCGGTCAGTCCTTGTCTCATGCTTTGCATGGCCGAGGCTGATGCGCGCAACTACTTCCGCTTGGCTGATGGGCGAGGCCTGGTGAAGGCTTCTTCTGAGACAGATCGGGGTGTGTTTTTCACTGCTTGAATTTCACGTCTTGTGCCTGGGCGGCACGCGTGTCGCATGTTTGTGTGCGTGGCGACTGGGCAGTGAGGTTGGGTGTTTGACCGCGGCATGGTCAGGGGTGCCGGGCACTTGGCATTGAGCACCGGGCAACCCGATGTGGAGCTTGCTGGCTTTGTATTGCCTTTCCGAGGCTATGACACAACTGATTGCTCCAACCACCAACGGGTGCGCAGAGCGGAATGCTGTCAATTGGGTGGTGCTGGCAAAGCTCGGCACAGGCTATCTGAAATCAAGAAGGCCCAGAATGAAGCCAGCAGCTGCCTCAGAGCAGATAGTCAGGGCTCTACTTCGCCCGCTTCGCACTTTGCAAGTTGCATGCTCCGGAGACGCCTTGGGCAGGAAAGCCGGTTTGTATGCGCTGTTGGGGCCTGGCTCTCAGCCACCCTCGGCCGTTCTCAGCAAGCTGCGTGAAGCCGCGCTGGCCAGGGCTCTGGCAGTACAACGACTGCGATGATGTTCTGAGACCAGCCTACGGAGGTCTGTTCATGTGTGGGGTGGGTGGGTGGGTTGGGTGGGGGTGGGTTGGGTGGGGGTGGGTTGGGTGGGGATGGGTTGGGTGGGGGTGGGTTGGGAGGGTGTGGGTTGGGAGGGTGTGGGTTGGGTGGCAGGGGAGCAAGGTGCAGGGCTCGTAGATGTTACGTGCAGGTGCAGGAAGCCAACAAGCAGCCTCGGACGAGCTTACAGCGGAAGCTTTTGAGCCATGGCCAAGAAAAGTGATCACGGGCGCAAAAAAACAAGGGGAAGGCAATTTTTCAGGCTGTGCATAATGCTGACCCCTGATGAATAAACCCCTGTGTACTAATATGGGAGTGTCCCTGGTTTTAGTGGGGATTTATCACTTTTGGAGGGGAACACCCCCATATGAACAAACATGGGTTTATTAGTCCGGGGTCAACATTATGCATTAGCTGCGCTGAGGAGGACCTCCTGAACAACACGCTGGCTCCAGCAGAGGGGCCAAGTTACGCTGCGCGCTTCCCACGTTGCACTGACCGTGAGTCAGGTCCAGGAGGCTTGTATCTTTGCGGTGGTGGACGTCTTCGACTTCGGTCCATCGTTTAAGCTGCCGCTTTGCCGCGTTTTTATTTTCCCTCCCCACTGGCAGAGACGAACCAGGGTTGGTTGCGAGATTTCTGATTTTGTTTCAGCTTGCTTTTGCACAGGCACGCACGCACGCGCATTTGATTTGCATTCCGGGCGGGGTACTGTTGTGGCACGAGGGGACACGTCTCGGCAAACATTCCAACAATCTCGAAGCAGCGTCAGATTCAGGCTGCAATACCTTGCTGATCAGCCTGGCACCTGATTTATTTACGTACTGTGTGTGCATTCTGCATTGGTAGCACGCTTTTGGCGCGCTTGCTAAGGGTGTCCAAGAAGCCGAAGATACGCGTTCGAATCATCGCCAACAAAATTGCCGGCGCCTCAATACGTTCGGTTGACGCGGCGCTGTGGGTCAGCTTGCTGGTTTGGGCGGCCAGGGCTCGGCGACAAGGGCACTACCAGTTGGCCGGGGGTCAAAAATGGGGGAATTTCAAAACGGAGCCCTGGTAAATGGAGCCAGGGACTAGGACAAGCAGCCCATATCCTGGTTTAAGTGTTGACCCATACCCATATTTGACGAGACACCTTTGACCTGGACGCAGTCCGAGGACCTGCTGCCCAAAGACATCAACCGCCCCCGGCTGCGGGGATGGGCCGCTTCCTCGGACGAGGGGCGGGTCGCGGCAGGGGCCGCAGTTTTTCCGGGCAGGTGGCGCGGGAAGCCCAGCTCGCCGGGCTCAGCCGGGTGAAGATTATGGACGTCTTCCCCATGTCCTGCCGCGCGCTTGGTATGAATGTGGCGTGCGGGAGCCGGATCCGGCGGAGCTGAAAGGTTGCGCGGCTTAGGCCATAGTGGGGAGGGCATCAGGCCTGTGCCTGGGTCCCAGAGCTGGCCAGGAATTCGGGCACCAGGAGGTCCTTTAAAAGCGTGTGCTTTTTGGGCTTGGGCCGGTCTTGAGGTCCAAGCTTCTTGAGCAGAACAACACCTTTGAGGAACATTACGTGGTCGGTGCTGCCAACGTGACGAGCCAAGGGTCTGCACTGCAAACCCTCCGCTGTCCATGGGCCGAGAATCGCCACAGCGATGTAAGGCTGGCAAGTCGTCTTTTCTGAACAGACTGACTCTGCGGAAGCGACGTGGAATTGGACGTGTCACTGCAGAGGCGGGCAAATCGCTTCCAGTCATTGAGAACTTCCTACTCGAAGCAGCCTTTGCCTTACTCCGGAACTCACAGCCTTCGCAGGATCAATCGGGCTTCGTCGTGAGTGTTCTACCTGGTACAACCCTCCGGCCGATCACGATGAAGTTTGATCAGGGCAACACGCCTTGTCCTCAGTGCAGCTCTGTGTCTATGGGGGGGAGGGTTCTCAAGATAGTGGCCCCGAAAACATCTGTTTTGCTGTTGGCGCTCCATCAACTATCAACCACAAGGTCCTCCATTTTTGGCAGTGGGTCAAAACCAATGGTACCATTTTGGGGTAGGTGAATTCACCACCCATTTTAGAACCTATTTTAGTGGTTGGATTGAATCGGACGTTCACTGGGGGCCAACCGATTTGGATTTTGACCCATGGCCATTTTGAGAGAAACCCCTCATTGTTTATCGGAGTTCAGACCAAGGAAGGTGATCGACATGCCCGGGTTGCTGGTTCCTGGCAGCATGGCGGAGAGGCTGACCTTGGAGGCACCTCGAAGACGAGGGCCTGTGTTTTTTTTGCGTTTTGTTCCATGCTTGTCTCCAAAACACACATGGGGGCGTCTCAAAATAGGGGGGACCCCGCCAAACATGTCATTTTCGTGTTTCGCTCTGAAGCCACGGCGCCCACATGCAGGATCTGAAGGAGATCATTCCACAGAAGAAGGAAGCCGGCCCATTGCTCAGCCCGGTCAATTGCGGGGACTGGCATATGCTTGCGGAGGGCTTGGTGGGGATTGCGATCTGAGTTCGGCTCACGTTCCACATGGCTGTGCCCCAAGTACTTGCAGCCAGTTGCTGTCAGCTTAACCTGAAACCCAAACCCAGGACGAGGGCAGGTCGCTCCTGCTTGGAGCTTTGGCGCGGCTAGATTTTGTGCAGGGCAGGCTCTTTCGATCCAACTGAAGAATGGGGTTGGTTGCGTTTGGTGACCAGGCCATTTCAGTTCACGGTCTGCGTGTCAGAGAAAGTGAAGATCCATAGGACCCGGATTGACAAGGCGTCACGAAACTTCACAATCCGCTTGGCTTACGTGCCAAGCCAGGCTGCGAGGATATGCCAGGAATGGGCTGGTGAGGAGCCTGACCCTCAGCACCCTTCGAATTTTAGCACAGAAACGCTCGACCGCTTTTGTTTGCACTTCTTACGTGCGTTGTGCATGTCCTGCCTGCCTGCCTGCCTACCTGCCTGCCTGCCTGCCTGCCTACCTGCCTGCCTGCGCCGCGGGTATGGCCTGCAGCCGCTGCAGGCTCACCCCCCCATTGAGCTCGAAGCGATTCAGCCAGCTCCTGCCCTTCCAGCCGCAGCGCTTTGAGTTCCAAGCTGAGTTGACTCTGCAAGTTCATGTGCTGCGTCTGAACGACTGCCATCAGCTTGTCCATAGGCTGACGGGCAACGGATGGGATGAAGCTTGTCCGAGTCCAAGTCCCTAGATCTGCTGTGCAGATGCTATTCATTGATTGCAGGTATGGATATCGTATTTCCTGGCTTGGGCTGGGTTGCCATTACTGGTTGTGGTGACTGCGTGGTCAGGGTCTTACGCTTGAAGCCGGCGCACCCCCGGTTTCTGGACTTGAGTGATTCAGGGCAGTCGAGTTTGGTGACTGCTTCTCCTGGGAGCGGCTGACGAATCTTGGATCTGATGCTGACGAAAGCTTAAGGTTGAGGCGCACGCACCGGAGGGTGTGGAGGTGATGAGCCGCGAGCCACTGTTGCCTCACGAGGCGCCGGAGGGTTGCAGGATTGCTACAAAGCAGCAGCTTTGCTGAGGCCAAGTGGACCGGCGTGAAGTACCGCGGCTTTCCTGGTTGGTACAAGATCAAGGGCCGGTCTACCCGTGGCTTTGAGACTGGAAGGGCCCGGTGCTCGTGTGCATGTGGACGTGTTGCTGGGAGACCTCGCAATGCACCGCTGGCCAAGGCGAGATATGGCGTGAAGGGGCGGTGGTGACGACATCGCTGACACTTTAAAGCCGCCAACGAACGTACGGGACCTTGCGCGATGTTTCGCAAGTGCAACAGCTACTGTTGCTTGGCCTGCTGCGCAGTCTCTCAGTTTCCTCATTTCGATCAAAAGTGGGGCCATGCTGTTCTGCTAGTTCTTCTAGTTCTGCTAGTTCATGCTAGGTCCTTGAATGTGCAGCGCATAGGCAGCTTCTGCTGTGCATGTCTGCATGCGGTTTGGCCCAGACCGGCTGGGCCGGGATTGTTCAGCCATTTCTCTCGGGCCCCCCGGCTTGCTTCCAGGCCTGATGTGACGCTTTGGGCACCTGGCCGCAGTCGAAGCACTGCCTGGCTGAGGTCATGCCAGGCTATGAGGAAGCACTTACTGCCTTCGCCGAAGCCCGGTCGCTGCTGGCAAGGGCCGAGGATGCCATGCAAAATGCCGTGCAGGCAGCAGGGGCTTCGGTCGCCTCACATGGCTGCCATTCTTTTCTCTGGCAGGGTGAGCAGTCGAGGATCATTGAGTTGAGGCGTGACTTGACCGAGGCAAGGGCGCGCTGCGTGTTTCTCTTGTTTTTGTGAGCCGCACGGTTGCGCAAAACCGAGAAGAACCCCCCCCAAAAAAAGAAGAAGGAGAAGCACAAACAAGCACACAAAAGCAAACACCGCAGCTGAATGATACAAAAAGATGCCAGCGGGCTGGGCTCACCAGGCTCGGGAGGCACAGAGGAAGGCCTCCACGGATGTGGCGAGCGCCCGTGATGCGTCGCTGGGCTGCACGCGTCGTTTTTTTTTTGGGTTGTGTTTTTTTTTTTGGTGCCGACGCTGGCCGGCCGCACGGCACGTTCTGTTCCCTCATGCGGTGACGCGTTCTGAGGCAAGAGAAGGCCTGAACCTTGCTCCACGAGAGGCGGGACACGAGTTTGACCTCGGACTTGCCAGGCAGAGGGTCGGCTGGAGAAGCTCGAAGAGAAGCTTCAGGCCAATCTTTCTTCTTGTTGGCATGTTGAGTGATCACGGCACGAGGCCAAGCGCGATGCCATCCAAGAATTGCAGGATGAAAAGGAGAGCCTTGCATGCCCAGCTTGAAGTAGCCACTCACAATGTGTCGACTTTGCAGGACCAGCTGGAGGCCAAACTTGAGAAGAAGAAGAAGGAAAACAGAGATCTCAAAGAGGAGGTGGAGGACCTGGAGACGTCGCACGCGCTTGTTCGGCCAGCTTCTTTCTCGGCCTCCAATCATTTTGCGGCGCTGCTTGGTCAGAGGTGAGATTAGGCGCAGTCAAGTTCGCGTTCGAACTTTGCTCAATGTGACGGACGCACAATTATGGGGACTTTGTTGGTTCTTTGAGGAGTTGGAGCAGAAATTGGAGAAGGTGAAGGCTGGCGATGACAAGAAGAAGAGGGCAGACAGCTCCAGCGGAAGTGACGATGAAAAGGACCGCTGATCGCTTGCCAAGATGCGGAGAACTAGGGTACTGTGGTTTGTTCTTCAGTTCTTCCTTCCCTCTTTCGCTTTCCGGGTTGCGATTTTTTCCCCAGCCCTTCAGGAGAAAGCCAAGAAAGTGCCGTTGAAGTTGAAAGTTCTGCCCTCAAAGGCGGCCACAGACCGCCTGTCCTTTTTTCCAGCATGCCCAGGCATCCGCATCCCGGAGCCAGGAGCTTAGAGAACCTCACAGGCTGAAGATCTCTGCCGGGCGACACTAAGAAGGGTGTCGCTTGCGGCAAGCCTGGAACATGCACAACTTGGCCAGTTATGAATCCCTGTCCTTGCGTCCAGTCCAGCTGCTCAGCTCTGTGTGGCTTGCGGCGTTCTCGAACCTGTGCTGTTGCACAACCTCGGGCGCTGTGCTTCCGTGGGCAGCGAAACGGCAACTCCGCAGAAGAATCCCAGCAAAATTCCAGGGCTCACCATTCTGGGTTCCCCCCATTTTGGCCCAGACACTTGGCAGAATAGGTCAGAATTTTGATAGCCACAGGGCATTTGTGTGAGACGCCATGTTCAAAGCTTTGCCCTTAAAGGGAACATCGCTGAAAAGCATATGCTAAAAAGAAATTAAACATTTCAGGTCGCGGCAGCCGACGGGGCACGAGCCCAGAGAGAGAAGTAGCAAAGAGGAAGCGACCCTCAAAAAGTCCAGGAGGCCCGCTGAAACATCCCCAGCCACGTGCAAATCCACAACTTGGCTTTGGCAATTCGCGACTTGGTTTGGCTAGCCCTGGAGGTAAGAGCAGTGCAAGCTCAAAGGCCCGAGAGAAGGTGCGCAACAGGAGCGCGGTCAGATGCTGAGCAGCTTTCTGGAGGCTTGATGCTTTGCAGGAGTCGCAGCCGCAGCGGCAGCAGGGACCGCAGGCGCGTAGAATCTGACTAGAGGTTTTTGGGGTGGAGAGCCATCGGCCGGGGGGGGGGTGGGTGGTGGGGTGTGGTGGGTGGGGTGGGGGTGGGTGGTGGGTTGGGTGGGGTGGTGGGGTGGGGGTGGGTGGTGGGTTGGGGTGGGGTGGGGGTTGCGCTCAAAGTGTGGCTTTGGACAGGACCGATGACCGTGGCCGAAGGAGGAGCATTTGCAGCATTCAGCCGGCAGTTTGCAGGTTGCTTGAGGGGCAGTGACAGGAGCCGATCTCGGAGGCGCTGTGCCAATTTATCGCTATGGCACTTTCAAAGCGCCTGCTTATCATGCATTTGTGTTCATGCTCGCTCGTGGTCGGCAAGTTCAGTCTCAAAGGGAGCGTGGGAGGTCTTCCAGCCGCCCCAGAAGCAGGAGCAGGGGCTACCGCGGAAAAGGACCGAGACATATCTCCATTTCGTTTGGTCCGAGTCGATCATCGAGACTCCCTGAGGCGATGGCAAGGGCGAAGGCGCGTGCATGGGCGCGTGCGTGCAAAACCGCGTGCGCGGTTTTGGTGGTTTTTCTGCGCCAGGTGCGCAGCTCTGCATCCCCTACGTCCAGGGCCGGTGCCGCAGAGGTGACACATGCCGCAGGCTCAGCAGCGGCTCGCGCATCGGAGCGCGGGCCGGGGCCTGGGCTCAGGTCGCGACCGGCACCCCGCGGATGATTTGGCCAGAGCCCCGAAGTGCGCAGTCGAAGCTCCCCGAGACGCTGGCCCAAGGATTCCATTTACGAGACGCTGCAGCGAAAGCCGTGCAGATATGGTGCGGACTGCAAGCGGCGGGACTGTGCGGACCCCGGCTTGGAGCCTTGTGCCTCGATCCACGTGTTGTGGTGAGGTGTATTCAAGCACCCAGATGATGGCAGACGACGCGAAGACTGAGAGGGCGGAAGCAATGGGCAAGGGCAGTCTCCGCCAAGTATGCTTGAGTTGGCCTTTCAATCCTGCATGCAAGCCGTGCTCCAATGACCGATTGCTTTGCTGCTTGGCGGCCTGCTGTCGCATTTGCAGACGCTTGTCCCAAAGGCACCTGAAACATATCGTCAGGCAGGCCACTGCCAGCAAATCAAAATCTTGAGCCTGTGGAGGCAACTGCTCTTGACCATTCACGGGCTGTGTGTGCATGGTTGATGTCGCCGTCCATTAGCACAAGCTTCAGAAATCAATCTAGGACTCAATCAGGGGCGCTGCTCTGTGAGCAAGTAGGCCATATCTCCATGCAGTGAGGCATGTCCGCAATCCGAACAAGTGGAACAAAAGATGTAGTCCTGGACGCTTCGAGCAATACACACTACTTCGATTGCAGCATCATTTCTTTACCTTTCACCGTTTTCGCATTGGCGGTCAGCCAAAGTCAGACATGTGTAGATGAGTTCAGGGCCATGCCAGCCGCCTGAGGAGGCGCTCGGCCAGGCGTCTCTGAGAGGGGAAAGCTGACATGGCTGTAGGGTGGCCCTACGCCCATTCCCATGTCGAGCCAATCACACCCCGGGTAGATGGTTAGGTCAGGAAGAACTCCAAGCACAAAATGGGTCGGCCGGGCCATTTTCATCCCCACCGGAAATTTTCTGACTCCCTTGAGTCTATTTTGGTGCCCGGCCCAGCTGGATGAGTGCCGGCCGCGGAAGCCAACCAGATGCTCATCTCTGAACTTGCGATCGGGAGGGACTGAGGGACTGGGGATTGGACGGTCGATTGAAATCATCAAACTTTTTCCCTGCAGATCCCCCATTCTTTTTTGCATTCCCTACTAGGTCCCCCAGTAGTGCCAACTTTTACCGTTTCTTTTTTGGAGGAGGGTTCCCCTACTAAAATAGACTACAGCAAAAAAGAGTACCCTTATTGAAACCTCTCTACTGGAGGACCTAGCCTACTTATCGTTTTGTTTTTTGCGTCGTCACTTCAATCGTCCATGCTGGTAAATCATCGGCTGAGATGTTGCAAGTCAACATGGCTGAGGAGTGCTCTTCGAACAGCGGGGCAAGAGCAAGCTTGGCGCGCCAGTCTCTTCCCCGGCACTTGGGCTTCTGGGGTTTCTGCCCTCATGAGTTCAAAAGGTAATGCAATTTTTGCCTTTCTTGCATTTCAAAGGGCGTATATACTTCCGGGATGCGTGCCGGCGGTTTTTTCCCTGCGATCTGCTCAGCCCGCGGAAGCCAATCGCCGAGGCTCGCGACCCGCTGGTGGGCGCCAGGGGCTACCGCGAGCACGCGGCGGAGCTTTGGCTCGGGGGCGACGCGGCCGGCGCGGTGGCGGAGTGGCAGAAGGCGCTGAAGGCCACGGTGGAGGAGCCCGGGGCTCAGCGGCTCGGGACCTCGGAGGGGCGCGCAGGTTTTGGGTAGAGAAGAGGAGTCCTGTTTTCATTTTTTTTTGGCTGGGGGGCTGGGGTTAGGGTGGGGGTGGATGTGGGGATGTGGGGGTACGTGCAATTGAAATGGCAGCTTGAGAGAATGGAAGCAAAGGCCAAAACCTGCGTCTCAGTTTTGAGCCATACCGGCGTCCTGGGGGGGTGGGGGGCTTGACTTTTGATGGGGCGCAACTTTCGTCCCTACAACATGGTAGACATAGATCCCTATGATGTCCAGACATGGGCCTTGAGTCAAAGTTCACTCCCTTTTTTTCTGGACCAAAAACAGCCCCGGCCCGGAGCCGCTTGCCAGGCGAGGGCGGGTGCCAGAGGAGGAGCTGGACGAGTTCGAGCAATCCGTGCAGCTGAACCTGGCGGCGGGGCACCTGCGGCTTGGCCAGCACTCGGAGGCCAAGAAGCACGCCACTCTGATGCAGGGAGCGCATGGCGGGCGGGCCCGCCGGGCGGAAATGCAACCTGCATTTCACGGGTCCTCCATTTTTGGCTGCGGGTCAAAGCCAATGAGATCCCATTCTGGGGCAGGTGCGCCACCCATTGTGGTCTATTTTAGTGCTGATTGGGATGTTCGGGATTTTGACCCATGGCCATATTACCCATTTTGGCAGTTTTAAACATCACCTTTTAGGCGCTCTGGCTCACAGTCATTGTGCCTCCGGGTGAGGTGCGCCCTGGGGTGGGCAACCCTCGGGTGTCCATCGTCCATTACCCCCCTCCCCAGGGGGGTGCCCAGCCCCGCTCTGGTCCGGCTGCCCCTGGCGGCCCTCGCTGCCTTGTGTGCGGTGCTGTTGGTTGTGGTTCCGCTCTGTTGCGTCATGGTGACCCGGGACCAGTCGCTTCGCGCCACGCTTGCGGCCTTGTCCGATGCTGCGCTCGGCAGCATCAGCTCCGTGCTGGAGGAGGGGACATCACCTGGAGTTCGAGGTCCTCCTGGAAACCCAGCCTGGAGAGTGGAGTGCCCAGGTTATCCAGGCGCCGCTGCCCTTCGACCTGAATCCCACCCCGCTACCTGCGGCCAGGCTTCAAACTTTCCTCCTCCGTGCCCCTCTTGAGTTTCGAGGTGTGCTAGAGCCTGCCCGGGTTTTTCGTGCTCTCAATGTCACTCTGCATCCTGGGATGCCTCTGGTTGCCTCTTTGCATGAGGCCACGCCTGTCTGGGCTGTCCCACTTCCGCTCTTACGTCACCCCCTTGCGGTTGTGCACCTGTTTGCTGGTGGGTTCCGTGGTTGGACCCAGGCCTTGCGCACGTTGGCTAGGCAGCATGATTTCTCTGTGGAGACTGAGGTGCATGTGGATGTGGATGATGAGGCCATCAGCACTTCTGTGCACACTGATGCCGGTAGTGTGTGCCGCAACCCCGCATTCCTCCGTGCCTGGCATGTCAAGCCGCAGTCCCTTTCTATCCAGGCTGACGTTGCTGACCCGGCCATCCTGAATGCTGTCTCGCGCTTTGGAACGGCCTTGGTTACGGCTTCCCCACCGTGTCCGCCATGGTCCCGTGCTAGGACTGGCTCTTCACCGGCCCCGGGGCTCGATAGCGAGGCGGGACAGGCTTTCTTGGACCTGTTTTTGCTCTTGCGCCGTGTCTCTCCTTTGGGAGTTGCGCTCGAATGTGTGGACATGCTCCCCCGGCATCCGCACTTCCGGATCTTGCAGGCTTTGGCTGTGTGGGCGGGATATGTTTTTCATTTCCAGCAGGTGCACGAGCATGCCGGCTTTGCGGGTGCCAAGCGGCTTCGGTGGCTGGCTCTTCTTCTGCGCTGTGATGTTGCTCCCACTTTCTCGGCTCCTGCTGTTCCGCCTCCGATCCCCCGCCCTGTCCCATGGACGGACCCGTCATTCAACTTCGATTTGCCGGAACCCCTTGCTGCCCAACTTTATTTGACGGACCAGCAGCGACTTGTCCTGTCAAACCCGGCGTTGCTCCCAGCGTCCTTCCAGCCGTCCAGTGGAGCCCTCCTCCCCCCGAATGAGGTCCTTGCCTTGCGCATTGCCGATCCTGCCGCGCCGTTGCGTACTTTGTGTGCCCAGTACACCAACCAGCACAATCTCGCCCGTGGAGCGGTTGAGGAACGTGGCATCTTTGCGCAGATCGTGATGCGGCACGGCATCCGCAGTTTCCTCTCCCCCCTTCTGTGGCTTGGGTTACTTGGCGCAACTGAGCCCCTCGTTCTCCCTGTTGAGGTTACTCCCCTGTTCCGGCTTCTGGGCAACTCCATCAGTGTCCCACATGCTGCGCTTCCGCTTGCGATCTTCTTTATCACGGTCGGCTGGGTTCCCTTGACCCCCATGGATGCGGTTGATCGTGTTTGGGATGCTCGCCTGCGCCCGGAACAGGTGTATGCCCAGGTCGTCCGGAACCGCCTCAGCTTTGGCGGTCTTGCGGACCTCCTTCGTTTTGCGGTCCGGGACATGCATGAGGTTCGCACTGGCGATGAGCACACCGGCATTCTGTTGGGCTATGTGTGGTGCCCTCTCCTGCTTGGTGTCACGAGTGCCGGGCGTCTTCGCTGTCATTTGGTACTTGATTCCGCAAGCGCCATTGCGGTTGTCTTTCATGCCAATGCTACGGTTGCGCTTCTTCTCATTGCTCTTCGCATTCCCTACGCGGTGATCCCTCATGTCATGCTCATCAACCATGCGGGAGCTCATCTCCACACTCAACCTGCGGCCCCATTGTCAGGTACCTCGGCTTTGATCGTCCCTGCCCAGCCTACCCATCCGGCTGGGCTCCCCGTCGCACCGCCCCCCCTTGCGATCAGCCAAGATGTCGTCCTGCGCATTGTCGACCCGTTCAATCGAGTCCATGAGGTTTCTGCCCCGGCCAATGCTACTTTGTGGGAGATCGTCTGGTCGCTGCCACTGCCTGATCCTTTGTTGGCTCGTGTCCGCCCCTATGTAAATCAGGTTGCCGTTGGCTTCGACACTACCGCCGACCTCTTTGCCCAAGCTACATTGCGCTTGCGCTTGGCCACGCCGACCCCTGGTTGGTGTCAGACCCTTGGTCTTCCGACCCACCATCGCGCAAGCTTGCCAAGTGGGAGGATCTCACCCTGCCCTCGGACCACTTCTTTGTCTATGATGATCCGTCCGAGGATCTCCCGATCCCTCGGGTCACTCCCAAGCAACTGCTGGGTCCCCACCTTGGTGGCATTTCCTTCGTTACACGGGCGAGCTACCGTTATGCCCACTGTCTTGCTCTGCCCGGGAGCTGCCCCCCTCAACCCCCCTCCGCTCCCATCGGATGCTGCTGTTGAAGGGCCAATCCAACTGACACTGTGCGACCCGCACGCCAAGCAGGAATATCAGCGGGTTGTGTTTCTGGTCCACCTCTGCCCTGGCATTGCCTACCGTCCTGCGGCCAGCATCACCACCATCGTCGATGTGTCCGAGTATGTTGAACTTGTTGTCGAGAGGTACCAAGCCCTACCCCCGGAGGCCGAATGGACCCAGGCCGAAGCTGGTGGCATCTCGGGCGCCAAGGCCGCCTTTGAGGCCTCCTTTCCGCAGATCCGCATTGAAGGAGCCTATGCCCACCGACTCCTCAGGGATTCCCCCCAGGGCCTCGGCAAAGTGGTGCAGTTCATCATCAAGACTCCGGCGGCCATGCGGCTTTCCGCGCTCCGTTTCTCCGGAGCCTCCCTTTGGTTTGTGCGCGACTACTTGCCGAGGGGTACTTCCCCCCTCGATCACTCACCGGTCACCCGCTTCTGGTCGCTCACTCGGGATGGTGTTGCGGACGCCTACACCTTGGGCAGGCCGTTGGCTGGATTTGCTGGCCTTGCGCCTCACAAGCGCGGGGTTGCTATTCGCATCCTTCATCGCCATCTCGCGGATGCTCGCCGGACTTTGTTGCAAGGTGATGACAGGTTCTGTGAGTTGAACTATGCAATTGTCGCCCGCCTTCACTTCACTGCGGAAGGCTTCCCGTTTGGTGCCGCCCCTCCTGCCATCGTTTCGGCTGTTCATCGGGCTACCGGAATTGCCGTTATTCCTCTTCCAAGCTTTCGGAAAGGAGGTGTCCTCACTTGGGTCCTTGGCTTTCCCAGCCCTTCTCTGTTGCGCTTTCCCATCACGGCTGCGGGCCGTACTGCCGAAGTCTTGCTTGCCCCTGAGGCCCCCATCGAGAAGCCCAAGGGTCAGGGGCGGCAGCGCAAGGGAGGGAGGTCTGGCCCTCCGCCCTCCCCCCCTCCCTCCTCTGTTTCTGTTGGCTCCTCGGTCTCCACCCAGGACCCGAACAACAAGCGTATTGATTCGATTGAGCACCGTGTCTCTGCTCTTGAGCACAAGACCGACAGCCTCGCAGACCAGCTGCGCTCCCAGCACCAAGAGGTTGCGGGCCAGCTCACCAGAATCCTCGGCGCCCTCAAGCCGAACCGGGATCAGGGAGCCCCCGACCCCCCGGCGAAGGCACCTCGTGTGTCGTCTTGACTGGGCCGTGGGATTCGGCCTGTGCATGCCTTCTCTTTTGCCCCCGTCTTTTGGTTCTTCCATGTCCTTGTTGCCTGCTGCGCCTCCGGCGTAATGGGCTTCGATTCCACGTTGGGTTTTCCGGGTGAAGGCCCCTTCATCCTTGGGTCTCACAACATTGGCAGTTTGCAATCGCACCCGGAGGTCTTGTCCTCTGTCGGTCACCTCCTGTGTCTTCAGGAGACCCGGATCTCTGATGCCAATGTTCGTACTTTAACATTTCAGGCCAACCGGAAGGGCCTGTCTCTTCTGCCTGGCCCCCTCCTGGCCCGCGTGCCGATTGGGGTGGCGTTGCAGCTCTTTCGCAAAATTGTGCCGTGCGTGCGTTGGATCTGGAGGCCGATCACAGTGGTCTCCTGCCCCAGCTGCTTGCAACTGGCCGAATTCAGGTTTTTTGGATTGCCTTTGGCGGTGTCCACGCCCTGTGTGTCAACTACTACGCTTCGACTCGGGCTGCCAAGAGTGAAGTCCTTTTCGAGAACAATCGCACCCTTACGTCCGTCTTTGAGCTCCTTGCTCAGTTCCCCGGTGTCCCACACCTCATTTGTGCCGATTTTCAGGCGATCCCCGCCGAACATCCGGCTGTTGCTGCTGCGCTTGCGACCGGGCGGTGGTTGGACCCCTTAGACCAGGTTGATGAACAGGGGGCTTCAACTCGCCCCCCCACCTTTTGCCGGACTCCGCCTGGCCCGCGGAAGCCCCTCTCACTAGCATTGACTCCGTCCTTCTGAACGACGTGGCGTGGAGATCGCTCAGTGCGTGCGGGCTTTCAGCATGCGGCCCTCCACCTTGAGTTTGCCTGGGATACGGAGATACCCGTGGCTCCGCGGTGGGAGCACCACGCCCTCTTGCACCTTCATGCCTTGCAGCCCTCGGAGGATAGGCACCGCATTGCCGATGGCCTCTGGAATACGACCTTTGCGTGTCGGCTGCAACCTTGCTCTACGCCCGATGAGCTTTTAGCCCTTTTTCACGACTTTTCCACTGCCACCCTTACTGCCGCAGGTGTGCTACCTGGGGCCATGGGCCCCGGTCCAGGGGAACGCTCCCCCTCCTTGTGGCTTCCCCTGTTACCAAGAAAGCCTCTCGGGAGGCGGCCAGGGACGCTATGTGGGCCAAGCTGTTGCGCCTCGTTCGGGAGCTTGATCACCGGTTGCCTCGTTTTGCCACGGCTTCCCCGGGGGATGCTGCTGCCACCCGGTGTGTCCTGGCCAAGGCCCGTCGGCTTGCGGGTGAGCTCCGTCTTCGTGTGGGACAGTGGCTTGCCGGCCCCGAGCTGCTCCCGGACCTACACAAGGCCCTCAGGGCCGCTTGGCACTTGGAGGTTGGCCGCCGGAAGCAGGCTGCCATTCGTGCCTGGCGTTCCCGCATTGCTGGTAGTGTTGGTGGCAAGGGCAAGGAGATCTTCGCCCATTTGCGTGCTCAGGGCCCCTTGCCCCGGTCCAATGTCATCACAGATCAGGACAATCGCCCTTTGCATTCTCCTGCCCGCGCCCTTTCCTTTGCGGCGGACCAGTGGAATGGCATCTTTGGATGCCACGATCCTCCCCCCCCCGTCGACACGGCCTTGGCGCCGTTCCGCCCGCTCCTTGAGGCCCGTGCCAACCTGCTGCATCCCTCACATCACTGCGGAGCATCTTGCGGCTACGTGCAAGCGTCGCAAGCCCTCGGCTGCTGCTGGGCTTGATGGCTGGACTACCCCTGAGCTCCAAGCTCTCCCCGTTCTGTGTTTTGAGCCCCTCGCGGAGCTCTTCCGCCGAGTTGAAAACGGCCAGTGCCAGCTCCCTCGTATCTTGGCAACGGCGCGTCTTGCTGTCCTCAACAAGGGTGATTCGGATAAGCCGCTGTCTAAGCGGCTCATTGCGGTCCTCCCCGCCCCGTACATCTTGTGGAGTAGTACGAGGTTTGCGCACACGGCTGAGTGGCAGCAGCGTGTTTTCCCTGCTGCCTTGAGTGGCGGCATCAAGGGCCGTCAGTCCCGGGACGTCACGCACACTTTGGCTCTCATTCATCACGAGTGTCACGCTACGGCTACCCCCTTTGCTGGTGTGCAAGTCGACCGCTCCAAATGTTTTGACCGTGTTGTTCCTGAGATTGCTGCTGAATGTCTTGCTGCGCTGGGCTTTCCTCGGCAGATTCTGCGCCTGTGGACCTCGATGACCAACCAGCTCACGCGCTACCTGACGTGGCAGGGCAGTGTTCATCCTGCCCCCCTCACCAACCGCAATGGCATCCCCCAGGGATGCTCTCTCAGCATTTTGGCCATCAACGGCATTATGGCTGTGTGGTCGCTGGTCGTGCAGCAGGTGCCGGGTGTGCGCCCCTTTGCCTTCATCGACGATACCTATTTGATTACGCAGGAGACCTCGGAGCTTGAGCAGTTGCCGGTTGCCTTTCAGGTGTCTCAGCTTGCGGATGCGGTGCTGGGTCAAATCTCCAACCCTGCCAAGTGTGGGTGGTGGGTCAGCGATGATCGCCATGCCCCACCCTTGGCCCTCGCGTTTGAGGGCATGCCTCGCCTTCAAGTCTTGCGCCCCCTTGGTGTCACTATCCACCTCAACCAGCGTGGTACTCCCGGCTTGAGGGACTCTGCGATTGACCGTTTCCGGGAGGCTACACCCTTCCTGTCCCTCCCAAGGTCAAGGCCCGCTATGTCGCTTCTAAGGCCATCTCTGTCCTGGCCTACGCCCCGGAGCTCAACGTTGTCCCTGGCAGGGTGCTGGATACCCTTTGTGCTCGGGTTGCCAAAACGTTGTGGGGCAAACGCCCGCATTGGCGCCACCCCCTTGCAGGCTTACCGCCTTGCATGTGCCTCGGATCGGAAGGACATTGTGTGTGGCCCCACCGGGATCCTGGATATCCATGTGACCGCGATCCCTTGGCGGCTTCCTCCGCGCGACGCGTGGCGGGCCTTTGCGCGTGCCTTTCCTCTTGATCCTGTGGTTGCTGAGGCGGTCGTTACTGGGTCCGCTCTCACTGCGGACCGGCTGTTTCGTGCCGGGTTTGCGGACTCTCCTCAGTGTCGCTTTTGCAGCCGGACCATTGAGACGCTGCAGCACCTTGTTGAGTGCCCCAGTGTTGCCTCCGCCCTTGGACACCCGCCCCCCCTTCCGCCTGGACAGGGCCCGGCCTTTGCTACTCATGCCTTGGTCGAGCTCTCTCCTGCCCTCCTCGGATGGCTTGTACATAGGAGTGCCCCCCGCCCACTGTCAGGTTCACCAAGCCGCTGTTCCGCGCCATGGCTTCATCGAACTCTGGACAGATGGCTCTGCTTTTGATTGCACCCATCCTCTCTGTGCGGTTACTGCCTATGCGGTTGTCGATGCCGACCGGCGCACGCTTGCTGCTGGAGAGGTGCGTGGAGCTTTTGCCAACAACTATGTGGCGGAGGTTGCGGCGATTGTGATCGCTGTGCATGGTGCCGGTTCTTCTGTTTGTGTATACACTGATTGCAACGCTGCAGTACAGGTGTGGCAGTCCATTTCTGGGAGGTGGTGCACCACAAACAGGCTGCTTTTCCGGAGTTTTCGGTTGAGCTTCAATGGACGCCGGCGCACCAGGACCTGACCCAGCTCCGTGGGCGGGCCCTTCAGCATGCTTTGTGCAATGACGCAGCTGACCGGGCGGCCAAAGCTGTTGCCTCCGGTGTGCAGAGGGTCCCCATGCGCGAGCTCGACACCTTGTTCTATGCGACCTGGAGGAGGCAGAGGTGGCTTCAGCAGCTTTATAGGTTGCTGCCTGAGTGCAGCCCGTTCCATGCGGCCGAGGAGGTTGACCCGGGCTTGGTCAGTGCGAACCCCCCTGTGCCGGCGCCTGCTGCCCGCACGGTCCCGTCGGCGGTTCGGCTCCCCTGGGAGCCGCCTGGTTGGTGGCACTGCGCCCCGAGGCAGTGGGCTGCGGTTCGCGATTTTTTCGCGCAGGCTGAATGGCGGGTTGGTGACTCTGAGTCCATCTCCCTGCACGAGCTCGTCATCTACATGAACCACCGCTTTCCGTTAGCGGTTCACACGCCGGGGCGTGTCACGGTCGTTGCGGCCCAGGTCAAGTGGGCCCGCAAGGCTCTTGGGGTGATCCGTGGGCGGTGCGGTGATCCCTCGCCGGGGGTGTGGAAGCCGTCGCAGCAGCGGAGCTTCGGTGTGTGCTTTCCCAAAGGCATGTACGCCGGGGCCTCTCTTGTGGTGTCAGGCGGTGAGCGCGAGCTGCTCGCCCAGGCTTTGGCTCGCGTCCATCGCAAGGGGCGGACCCGCGATTGGGACTTTGCCCTTGGCTAACACGGCCAAGGTGTGTTTTGGCCTCGGCGCCGGCAGGCCCGGAGGTCGGCACTTGCTCGACGCGTGCGCCCGTGAGATAAACATCACCTTTTGGCCCATGAAAGGTGAGTATCCCTTGGTGGGGGTGATGTTTTCAGGGGAAATGTAGGGAGCCCTGTGCATGGCCTTGAGCAGCCCCAAACTTGGGCCAACCAGAATGTCCCCCATGTCTGGGAGAAAGCGTGGCTAGTGTGTTCTTGACGGCGTGCCAAGAGGCCCTCCAGCACCACGCCCCGGATGAGTTTTCAAAACTCCACTCAACGATGGGGATGACCGAGCTGCCATCCATGAAGCATCACCCCCTCCCCCCCTTTCGTCACTCTCGACCTTCAGGCCTCGGCATCCATTTGGTTGAAGCCGAGCTGCCCCAAGGTGCCGATGTGTTGCTTCACGGAAGGCGTGCGCGACTTGCGTCGCAGGGCAGGTATCGCCTGGCAGAAGCTTGCGCCAAGCTGGGAGACTGGGAAGAGGCTCGCGCGGTCGGGGCGAGGCACTTGCAGTGTCTCATGTCAAGCCCACTGAAGAGTTCCATGAGAGACATACACAGAGACACCAAGCGCGCAAAGAAAGACATAAATAAAAGCAAGAAATGATAGAAACACCACACACAAGAAAGAAGAGGCACATCACGGAACTTGCGCAAACCAGTCAAAACAAACCCACACCCACACACACGTTAGACAAACACAAAACATACAAACAAACACGCACCTGTAAAAACACGCCCGCCCGCACGCCCGCGCGAGAGAGCACCCGACCTTTTCTCGCCCGCACGCCATGCCCACGCCATGTCTCGCCGCGCCGCGCACGCATGCACGCGCGTACGCACGGCACTGAATGTCACGGCACAGCACGCATGCCGGCACGCCGGCACTCCCGCATTCCCGCAAGCCCGTGCGCCCGCGCACCTGCGCCCGCGCACCTGCACGCCTGCCCGCTCGCCCAACCACCCACCTACCTACCTACCCACCCACCCACCCACCCCCACCCCCACCCCCACCCCCACCCACACCCACACCCACACCCACACCCACACCCACACCCACACCCACACCCACACCCACACCCACACCCACTCCCACACCCACACCCACACCCACACCCACACCCACACCCACACCCACACCCACACCCACACCCACACCCACACCCACACCCACACCCACACCCACACCCACACCCACACCCACACCCACACCCACACCCACACCCACACCCACACCCCACACCCACACCCCACACCCCACACCCACACCCACACCCACACCCCACACCCACACACACACACCCACCCACACCCACACCCACACACACACCCACACACACACACACACACACACAC